CAAACTCTTACAATGGCACTAGTCTGTGATTTGCTTGGCACTGAACGTGTGTTGCGTTATAACAACAGTTATCTTTGGAAAGCTGAGATACTTACTCTCCACTTAAGACTCAGCTTCTTCAGACCAGGGACCTAGCCCCTGTGTTTCTTGATAAACCAAAAGCAAACTTAGTACTCTCAAGTAACAAGCACTCAGTGAACACTCACCATTGATCATGATCTGATGTAAATGACCTGTGCTGGAGTCATTAGCACCTAGATGGTACATTATTTAAAGTAATGTGACTGGATGAGACCACCTAGAGAGAGAATAGAAGGAAGGTATGTATACAATGATCATGTCTTATTTTTATTAAAATTCTCTTTGTGTTTAGTTAGTTCCAGGATTCTTTGTTTTGAACACCTTTTCCTATAAGCATGTATGGTAGTTTGAGAAGTAGTCTTCTTGCACCATCTTCCTCATCATCACTTTAAACTATTTTGACACATTTTTGGAACAGGTTTGGCAATATTCCATTTTCCTTACTGTTGTATTTAAGATTCAATTAGGGCCTATTCTAGGCTTAGAAAGAGCTGCAGAACATTCCAAGTTTCCTCAAGATTGTCTAAGTCTCAGAATTCTTCACACATCTGGAAATCTTGTCTACAAAATGTAAAATGCTCTAAGTTGGCTAAAAAGATGGGATCCAATCAGCTACCCATCCATATGAGCAATCTGGGACACCACATTTCACAGGCAATGAAGGGGCGTATTTCCGAATCCTCCGGCCCTTTCTCTATCACCTTGCCCTCAGAACTTCTGCAGGTATTCCGGAGAGTAGGAACATATTTTAATGCCCAAAAGTATTAGAGAACAAAGATACACAAATTCCAACAAAACATGCAATATTAATTATAAGTGAGAGGGACAATAAATCAAGAATTAAAAAACAACAACCTGGGGTCTGGAAATGGAGTCAGATATAAAGCTAAAAAAGAGAACCAGTCAGTCATACACGGCTTCGTTGTCTAACAGTCAGTGTGCGGAGAACCATCTACCCAATAGACTGTGTCCATCAGCTGAAATAAACCTGTTATTTAGAGGACATAGATTTATTTTTGGAACTAACACCGTAGAGGAATTTTTCTCTGAGCTCTCATAATCTATGTAATGCTAGGTAATATTTTTCGCACCTGGGAGAAAGTTAAAAATGGAATTACATGAGGACTAGCTTCTCAACCCTGCTTTAGCAGAGGATTCTGCCGGAGCGAGGTCTTTACAGGCTCTAGGCTGTATGCAAATTATTGATGTAGGTAATTTTACTCCCTTACTGTATCCCAGCTCTTTGAGGTTAGGATTTGCTTATTTATCATAGAACTTAATTGTTAGATAGTTGGTGTTTATTAAATGATTAGCTGAATGAATGCCTCCCTGGAAGACTCTCCGCTTTCCAGCACCACATATGGAGCCAGAATGGCCGAGTTCATCTACTTTTGCTCCTGTGTTCGGTTTCCCGAGGACCTCAGAAAGAGCCACGTTTCATTAGCTCTGTTAGGAACACCGGTACAGGGTTTGTTTCAATGACTGCTTACTCTCTGTCAGCCTTGAGAATCTATATACTGAAGGTGGATCTTTGAGTTCCACAGGATAGATCTCTAATGAGACTATCTTAAACTAAGGACTTCTTTCACTCATCACAAGATTAAAAAAAGCCATCCTGGAGGTATGTATTTATTTAAAAAAATATATAAGCACACAAGGATTAATTAAAATTTTTGTTTGAGGTAAGGAATTGAAAAACTTATGTTCAGCTCGGCCGGTTGAGCATTGACCCATGTACCAAGAGGTTATTGGTTTGATTCCCAGTCAGGGCACATGCCCAGGTTTCCGGCCTGATCCCCAGTGAGGGGTGTGCAGGAGGTAGTTGATCGATGTTTCTCTCTCACATTGATTTTTCTCCCTCTCTCCCTTCCTCTATCTCTAAAATCAATAAAGGAAAAAACAAAACAAAAAAAACCTTATGTTCAATTGTTAAGAATTAGCTATGTGACCGTAGGCTAACTCTGTATATGACTTTTTCTAGTATGTAAAGATAATTACCTGTCCTCCCTAACACCATGCCATCCCAGTATTTATCCAACTGTAATTTATTTATTTGATTTTTCTGGTTTATCCTCTGAACATACCTATTTGGAGGCAGAAACTGTTTCATAGGCTTGTATCCTAAGTGCTTATTACATTACAGTGTATACTCAATACAACTTCCATTGGTTCAGTGAATTAAAGGAAATCTTTGGACAGTTTCACAGTGCTGAATAAATGTAAGCTATTCCAGGAAAGCAGGTAGAATTTCACCAGGTGCCCTTCCTTAGGGCTGGTAGCTCCTTCCCGTGGCTCCCACCGCCCTAAGCAATCAGTACCAGTTCCTACAGGAACTGGACAGTGCCTGGAGGTTGATGCCTCTCCCACTCGCATCCTTCTGCACGTGTCCTCACGCCAAAGGGCTTGGGCTTCCTTTGGATCCTCTGGTGTTGTCACACACTGCTTGTCATATACAGCCTTGCTGGAGCTGTCAAACAATACCTGAAAAAAACCAAAATGTTCAATATTTATTCTGTAGCCCATTTTGCCTGTGTCCAAACGCTCCAGGTTTGCATACTACTTTTCTATAATCACAACGGCTAGGAGATCCTGAGTTCCTGTATTCCAGGTACTGTGTGCTTATATGTATTAACTCATTGTTTCCTCACATTTCAATTGTTATCCCCAATTGGCATGACAGCACTAGAGAAAAACAGGTTAGTATTTTGCCCAAGGTCAGACAGCTTGGTAGAGCTTTGGTTCGAGCAGCTGTCTGGCTCCAGCATCTGGACTTTTAGCCACAATGCTATGCTGCCTCTTGACTAATTGCTTTACAGTGGTTCTCAACCTTCCTAATGCCGCGGCCCTTTAATACAGTTCCTCATGTGGTGACCCCCACCATAAAATTATTTTTGTTGCTACTTCATAACTGTAATTTTGTTACTGTTATGTCTTAGGCGACCCCTGTGAAAGGGTCGTTCGACCCCAAAGAGGTCGCGACCTACAGGTTGAGACTGCTGCTTTTGTAACTGTAGTTTTATGATAATTCATTTTTCTTTTGGGAAACAGCAACAATGAGAACTTTAAAGTGTACTTTGCCTAGTTATGAAACTTACCTTTTACTTCTACAGTTATCCAAAGTTTTAACTAGTGTTCCCTTTGTGTGCTTATACTGAGAGTAAGAAAACATTTTTTAAAATGGAATTTGGAAGACTTTCATTCGCCCATACAGCAAAGGGATTATAGCAAGTTATAAATAAAAACAACAAAACACACCAGAAATCTACTCAGAACCGTATGCTAAAATTCTAAATAAATGTTTGACTTACAATACAATTGACCTTAACATAAGAAGCTGTTTTAAACCTCTAGCTTAAACCACACCTAACTTGCATTTACATAGGCTATTAACTATCTTGACATCAAAGGTAACAGCTTTAATTGTATTGCTTGCCACTGAAGGATCTTGTAAAGTCTATGATTTTGTACATTTATGGTTCCCTTCATAATGACAGATATTCCTGTGTTCTCCAAATTTTAGCAAATTAGTTATAATACTTAAGTACTTTAATATACATTGAAACAAGGTGCAGAAAACTCATGATAATTAAAACTGTTAGAGTACTTCAGAAGAAGTTTTTCACACCTGTTTTCTATAAGCATACAAAAGCCAATAATCTGAAAAAACTCAGCATAGTTTGAATGACCCTGAAGCTATATTCTGAAAGGGCTTTAATCATTTCCTTAAGAACTGACCTTATTACAAAGGCAAAAGCATTATCACTCAGACAGTACACAAGACTTCTTACTTCATCTATAAAAACAGAATGCCAATGTTTTATTTGCCACAGGGATGAGGGGGGAAACATCAGTGGAATAAATCTGATAACATGACTCACACTTCATTACAAATTACTTCCCTAAATTCACCACTTTCCCATTGGGATGAGCTAAAAAATAAACACTAAAAAAAGAAACGTCCTAACAAGTAGGCAAGTCACATGATCCACGTAAATGAGGGAAGTTTAAAGAATTAGTAAACTTTTCTAGCTGGGGGAAAAAAATATATATATATATTTTAACTTAGTGAGCTTAAATAATTTGCCCATGGTGATGAATAAGCCCTGACTCAGGTTCTGAAACGTCCTCTCGCAGTCTGTTTCATAAAATTACACAAAAACATATTATGGAACATACAGGAAACAGTTTCTTGGTTAAATCTTAATACTCAAGGCAAGAATAAAAATTCTACACTACTTCCCTTTCAGGTCTTTTTCTCAATTTCTTAGGGAGGCTGTACAATTACATATAAAGTCTATTTTACTTAATGATGTGTTCAGCAACTTTAGCACTCTATGGAAGTAGTAAGTGTAAAGAAAACAGGGTTAAACTGCTTCCTCATTCTCTTCCCTCATTGGCCAGTAGTAAAGTTTATTCAAAAAACAAGGACAAATTACTGTGGCCTAGAGGCCATTAGGAAGGGAGGGAATTCAGAGAATTAAAGAATATGGCTCTGGAGAGACATTAAAGTCATACTGGAAATTTATGGAGTCTGACTATAAACTCTTTGCCCTTCTCCCTGGCTTCAGGTTTAGTTAGATAAGGTGTGACGTTTCAGGGCTGTGCATGGAACCTTCATAAGCTGACATTTTATTCCATGTTGTTTTGTTTTGTTTTTTTCCGTGAAACAAACAAAAAATAGAAATACAAGTGCTTGGTACCACGTAATTTTGAGGCTTAAAAGCCTATTAACAAACACTCTGTTTCCATCTTAGGAGCATCAGGGTCATTTTGAAAATAAATGGTGCCAGAAGAATCTCCTCCAAGGGAAAGGGAAGTCACTCTCCCTCCCCAGGGGCCATGAGGGAAAAGGCAGACAGAAGATAATGCCCCCTACTTGGCAGGTGGGATTTCCCTTTCTCCTGCGGCACCCCCTCGCCTCAACCATGCAGGTCTGGCAGCCTCAGGAGGCAGCAGGGAGAACAGGTGCCGCTCAGTCCTCCATGGCAAAGTCTTTGGTCTTTTCCTCCTGGTCGCCCACTTTGTAGCACAGCTGCACGTGCAGGAGGCGGTGGCTGTCCCGGGAGGGTAGCAGCTTCTCTCTCCGGAAATGTCTGTATCTTGCTCCACTTGCACGGGGCTCCTTCAGGTAGAGGAGAGCTTGCTTCCAGTGCGTGACCGGGTGAAAAGGCGAGGTGGACAGCACCAGGGTTTCCCCGAGTCCCTCCGGGGAAGCTCACCTGGAACCAGATGGGAAGCCTGCAGGGGCCGAGCCCTAGCAGCTGAGGAGGCAGCGTCCGCCCGCCCCGCCTCCAGCTCCTGCTGCGGCCGCGGGCCAGGTCCAGCCGAGCAAAGCACTGCGCCGGGCGCACGTCCTCCCGGACAGGTCCTGCACCAGATTCCCCAGGGGCCCACGATGCAGCGCGAGGCGAAGCCCCCAGGCAGCTCATGTCTACACCACAGAGCTGTTTCTCCTGGTTCCAGAAGCCCAGGCGCGGCTCCAGCATCTGGGCGCTGATGGGCCCACGAAGAGCTGGGCGGAGGCCGGGAGCAGACCGCCCTCCTCCAGCCGCTTGGTCCGCGGGTGAAGCACGGAGCTCAGCGTGGACTCTGCAGGAGGCCGTAGCCCATCCACTCGCTCACGAAGACATCCACCTGCTCCGGCAACTCCACCAGCCCGGCAGGACGTGCACCCGGTCCTCCAGCCCGCCGAGCCGCACCACCTCCCGGGCCTGTTGCCAGATGGCGCTGCCCCCACCGCGTACGCGCCGGCCCGGCCTGGACACACAAGATGCTGAGAATGCCGGTGCCCGCGCCCACGTCCAGCACCGTCTTGCCCCGCAGCGCTGCCCAGTTCGGCAGGATGCCCAGGCGGTAGGCATCCGTGCGGACGCGGTTCGCAACCATCTCCTCCTGCACCGATATGTCCCAGTAGCTCTGGTAGAACAGCTGGTCCAGCTCCTGCTGGCTCCTGGGGGGTCTCAGCAGGGCCACCTCCAGCTCTCAGCCATCTTCCTCTTCAGTTCCCTCCTCTCCTGCGCCGCCGCCCCCCGACTCAAGCTTTCTCTTCTTGGGCTGCGACATCTTGGCGGCTCGGGCGGACTCCCGGCAGGCGCGGCGGCGCGGCGCGGCGGGGCGCGGGGGCTGCTGGGACTTGTAGTGCGCGCTCGCGCTCCCTCTGCCTGCGGGCTGGGGGCCGGTGCCCGCCGTCGGCCTCCGCGCTCCGCCGCGTTCTCTCCCTGGGTGTGCCGGGATCCCTTTCCCACCCGGCGCCCCAGCCTGTGATTCCTCACGTCCCCCTGCTTCCCTCGGCCCTCACTCCTGTGCTTCCTCTCCCTTCGGCAGTGGACACGCCCACTGAGAACTCAACCCACGTTTTGTCTTTTAAGCCCAATTCCCAGATTTCCTTCCAGCGAACCATCTGGGCGGCATCTCCCCACGTTAGCACCTCCCTTGAGCAGCCGGGACTCAAAGCCCTCCAGACCTGAGATTTAGAAGCTGCACCACACGTTTTTCTTTTCTGTTTGAGTGGAGCAAAGCAGGTGTAAGTGGAACAAAGACAACACCTAGCAATGTTAAACCCTGGTCCCGACTCCAAGGAGACGGCGACTTCGTTGATTGAGGAGGGCAGGCGATGTAACTGCTCTTGTTTTCCGTTACCCACTCACCCAGCAGCAACAAGGAATCTTCACTGCTCACCAAGAATTAGGGTTCTGGTCGAATTTTCAGGGAAATAGTTACTTGGCGTTTAGTCCTGCCTTGTTGATTCTGTGGTTCACTCAAGAGTTAAATCTTGGAAGGGCTCAGGTCAGTGAAGCCCATGGCCACGTGTAGTCTGATCCCCAATCACACCTCCCTCCCCGCAGTAATAACGGAACCCTTCATCCCTTGACCACTTTCCACTGCCACCCCTTATTTTTTCCTGTGTCTGGGCAGGGTTGGGACCCCCCCTCTTCCTCTTTCAGTCAATCATCAGCTACTAATCTCTCACCTCTTTGTTGTTCATCATAGAAGGAAAAAATATTTTTAAATATGTGTGATGTCGGTATGAGCGTCTGTGTTCTTAAGAAGGTGAGAGTAACATTTTTCTCTGCTAAAAAAATCACACGGAAGAAAATTGATCATTTTCTTGTAGTCAGGAACTATGTCTGTTTAACCAATGGGCCTGTCTCTATTCCTTAAAAAAGTTCCGTCGCCCCATTCTCGCTGTTAATCCGTCACTTAATGGAATAGGTTTATTGACCTGACATCCCCAACTGTACTTCTAAGGGCTCTCAATTCTGGCTGCTCATTACAATTTTCTGTGGAGTTTTTTAAAAAACACCTATGCCCAGTGTCCCACTTCAGATTAATTAAATCAGAACTCCAGTGTGTGTGGTGTGTTGGAGGGGTGGGGCATATACTTTTTAAAAGCGCCCCAGGGAGTTGAATGTGTAGCCAGAGTGAGAAACACTGTTTTTCACTAAAATAATCTTAGTTAAATTTTGCTTCATTATTTTCGTTGGGTAAGTTATCTTTTTTTTTCAGGTGCCTAAGCTTATCTATTTAAGGCTAAAAACCCTCAGAGGAGTTCCTTCCTTTCTTCCTGGTTTAATATCTTGTTTTAAGAAAACAGAGGCCCAGAGCAGGATATGGGGTTCCGGTTTGTAAAGACGACCACTTGAATACGTCTAGGCTGTTCCTTAGTCTGTTCTTCCATTCTTTCCTTTCTCAAAATCGTTTCCTTCCCTTTGAAATCTATTCACTCCTCTACCCGATTTTCAATTTACTTGTGGTCTCTTTTTAGAAACTTCTGAATATAAGTTTGTTGGTTCTACCTTCAATATATCTGAGCCGTCATCTTTTCTCCTTCTCTTCCACCAACACCCAAGTCTAACCGTCTCCTTTGTTGCTCGGGCATCAATCTCCTAAGGGATCTCTCAACTTCTAGTCATACCCCATATCCAATCCGTTCTCCGTGTAGTTAGGAGAATGAGCTTGTAAACACCCAAATTGAACCCTGTCATTCTTCAGTAACTTTCCCTTCCGGTTACTGAAATAATCCCGTAACTTCAAGTAACTTCCCATCTCATCTTATACTGTTTTTCCCAGCTCCTCACTGGGCTCAACAGAGACTGGCCTTTATTTAGTATCAGGCCTCTTTCCTGTCTCAGGTCTTCACTTACTCTCTTCCAGGGCCTGGGAAACTGTTTTTCTCCTTAGCATATCACTTCAGTGGTTCCTTCTCATCCATCAACTTAAGTATTATATCCTAAGAAGCTCTTTCGCTGGCTACTTTAAATACTACTTTCTAACCCAAGACACTATGTATTCATAGCTTTATTGTTATCTGAATGTATTTATTTGTTCATTTGTTTTCTGTAAAATAAAAGCTCCAAGAGACTTGGACTTTTGTTTCCTCACTGTTGTGGTTCCTTGCTCTAGAATGGAGCCTGGCAGAAGAAAGTACTCATTACTCTTCAGGGAAGACTGTTGTGGAAATAATTAAATTGCTATTCACAAGGGAAGGAGAAGAGACTGGCTTTTTGTGGTTCAGTATGACAATTGGACTCTGGTAAACTCTGAGATAACTCCAGGTATAGATGCTTCCAGATGTAAGAATCGTTTCATTTGCAAACACTCCTAGCCTTTCCAGATAGGATAATGGTAAGCCCTAAATATTATGCCCTAAAGGGATTTCTTTACTCATCTTGTCTACCACACTGAGCTGTATTAAGTAGGACAGGGATCTAGATCATAGCCCTTCTCTAACATTGCAACTCTGCAGCAAACCCCCTGGATGGGAGGAGAGTTGGAGCCCTGGGGGCAGAGTGTTCCATGTGTTTGCAGGTCGGTGATCTGCTCAACACATCTAGTCAGTGCCCAGACCCCATGTTTTTCAAACACATAATGGATCTTGAAATGGATTTAGTACATTTCACCAGCATTAAAAATAGAAAGAAATAGAATAGAAAATATTAAATGCATAAAATGAGTAAAGATGGGTATTATTTCAAAAAACGTGTTTCAGTTTTATGTATGTATGTCCTGCTCCAGGTTACAGTGCAAACGATTGAGATCCATAGCTGACTGTTCTTCAGAAGCACTGTGAACTGTGACTCTTTTGTCCTCTCGCTGACCTTTTAGGTAGTGCTCAAATGTTATCATTCATTTGGAGCTTTTTCAACCAGTCTGTGGCCTGATAAAATTTATATATAACTCTTTTTCTCTTCATTTATCCCATTGTACCAGAGCTATTTATATACCTGGCTTTTCCATGCCAGTTGGTGGACAATGGAACACCAGGGCTTTGTATTTTTTACATTTATGTTGAAAATCTAGCACTTTGTGCTGGAATCTGAAACATTTCCACATTCCAGACTGTTGGTGCCGAGTACACAAGGATCACAGATGCGTTTTTGTATGGCTGAGGGAAACATGATTATTTTTCATGTGTTTATCTAATCTTTATTTAGTTAACAAATATTCTGGACTTCTGCCCTGGCCGGTTTGGCTCAGCGGTTGGAGCGTCGGCCTGCTTACCAGAGTCCTGGGTTCGGTTCCTGCTAGGGGAATATACAAAAAAAAACAAAACAACATTCTGGACTTCTAATCTGTGCTCAATAGCTAAGAAACCGGGGCCATATCAATAAACAAAAAGACAAAAATCCCTATCCCCCAGGAGCTTATATTTTTGTGTTAATGTTACATTGTCTATAAGCAAATTATTATACTTACACAAATTATCATATCAATTTAAACTCTCAAGTGTCTTCCCTATATTATTTTATCTTGGATTTACTGATGTGATTTCCTCCCACAAATACTTATTTCTAATTTCTTTTCATTTTCCATTTGAAGGTTTGTAGTTTAAAAGTGCATTTTAAAGCTTAGTATAAGAAGGTTATCCCTTCAGGATTTCAAGAGTTCATTGTTATTCTCGAAGTGTGTGTTGAGGAAGGGCAAAAGAGCAATGATATGAAAAATGTTATAAATATCTCTTTGATGTGCATACACATTTGAAAATGTAGTTCTCACCATTCTGCAGTGTATTGGAAGTCGCTAGCATAGAAAGAGGTACTTTGTCAAAATAATAATAATAAAAATAATAAAAAATAAACCGTTTATAAAAAATGAAGATAAAAGGTGATTTTTCAAAAATTGAAATGAATTGGAATATCAAACATAAAAAGCCCCAGTGCATGCTGTCCTCTTGATGTGTGTGGTGTGTTTTGGATCCATGGTGCATGGACCCAGCTATTAACCCTAATACTAAATCTGATGAATGGCAAAGTCATAGTTCCTTGATGGCATTATTATAAGTAGTTGTGATTCTTTTTAAAATGTTTGTATTGAATTGTTTAGGCAGTGGCAAAAGGGATACTATGAACTTAATCAGTCTAAATTTATTGGGCCCTCTTAGAGTATTGAATATGGCATTTTACCAATTTCAAGTATAAATATAGGCTATGACATTTTAACAATTTCTACTATAAATCAGACTACTGTAATGAAAACAGTACAGAAAAAAGGAGGGGTGTAAATTACAATATGGGGGAAGCTGCGCATCAGTGCATCTATGGAAATGAGCGTCTGCTCACCGGCCCCAGGAGTAATATGAATCAGGTGGCTTTAAGCCTTATAAATGTAACTTAATAAAATCTTCTCTTTCTCTCTCCTTTTGTGGAAACATTTTGTAAGGATGCTAACTGTTTGCTTAAATTGGACGCTTATGTCTCATAGTATTCTGCCACCGAGAGCATTTAAAGTGCGTGGAAGTAAATATAGTCATGGTAGTCTTATGGTTCTGAAAGTGTGCCTTGTAGACCAATAGCATCAGCATCACCTGGGAAATTGTTAGGATTATGCAAGCACGGACCTCACTCTGTATTCAATGGATCGGCCTCTCTGGGGCGGGGCTCCGCTGCCTGTTCTAACAGCTCTTGCGGTGAGTCCCTGCACACGACGTGACTGCACTGGGCCGTGTGAGGGCGTGTACAGCGGAGGGCATGTTACACTACCCTGTAACAAACTACTGTAAACTTAGCAGCTTAAAACAGCAAACATTTTTTTATTCCGTGGTGTCCCTGGGTTAAGAGTTAAGGCTC